TAGGAAATTTCATGTTTGTAGCTAGCTAAACTGAGACTCGAGAAAGCTTAATTTAAATCCAAGAGAGCTAAATATAGACTTGTGGAAATGACTCATTACTGAACAGCAGAAAAATATGCTCCCATGAGAGCCAGTTTAGACTGCATCCTAGGCCTCCCTCAACCATAGGAGGGAGTCGCTCTTAACCTTACTCACCTCAAAGGGTTGCTCTAAAAAATAGACAAGATTAAATATGTTTCCCATTTGAGTTATAAAATAGGATAAAATTTTAATGGTGATGGTAGTGATGTTCAAAATATTTTTTCTTGATCTTTTTCAAAGCATTCATTATTCTAATCCAATCTCATATATTAGCCAGTGATACTTTCCCTATAAGTGGAACCCAGGGAAGGTCTTGATCACTTGATGTTTAAATGCAGATTAATTGAAAAAAGGTGGTCTACAGTTATTCAGATTATTTAGAACATGTATCATCTTGAATTAAAAATTGATCAACACGCATTGAAGATATAATGTGATATCATGACTGAGTGTTCTGCTGGTAATGGGACTCAAATTTCAATTTTTGAGGCTAATGAGCCTCAGATTATCATTTTGAACAGAATGATATGGAATGGATGAATGATCTGAGATGGTAGGAAGCATCTCTGATTTTTTTTCTGCTGGTCCTGGATGGCATTCATGGTGTGAGGAAGTTGTAAATTGTTCTATTTTAGATTACTACTATGTTTACATTTCTTTTCATTTTTGTTTTTATTGTAAGTCATCTAGAGTAGAGATAGGCAGCAAATAAATTAAATAAATTGTGCAAATACTTAGTTTGTTAGCTGTCTATGAAATGTTATATGTGCATGCTGTCTTAAAATTATAGCAGGATCCTCCCATAAGTGCTGTGATTATAATGGCCACTATGGATAACAAAAATGTGGAAGGATGTGAGAGAAATAAGAAAAGATGTCATCGTATATTAGCATCAAATGAAAGTCCATCATTATTACAAGAATCAGGAAGTTGTGGAGCAGGCAAATCCACTGAGAGAGCTGATTTGGGTAAATAGAATGCTCAGCAATGATATTTATCTTATCTGTTTTCTTTCATTATTCATCTCTGTGTGCTTTTAAAATGGAAAATAAGGGAAGCTTTGCAGAGCTAGATAATGCTTGTAAAATCAGATATTAGCCCTCACATTGCACCTATTTTTACACACACACACACACACACACACACACACACACCTCCAGCACCTGAGAAAGAGCCAAGATTTTCATGCTTTTCTAAAGGCTAATAGAGTCAGGACAAATGTATGTTTTGTTAATGGAGGATGGAATTGTTCCAGAGGGCAGGCTCTGCCACAGAAAATGCATACTTTCTGGGTCCAATCAAATAACATTGTTTTAGAAAAGGGACTTAAAACATGTCTATTCTGTTAGTGTATATAGTATGGGCAGATGTTGGGAAGAAATAAAACATGTAGAGCTTTATAGGTAATGAGATAGCTTGCAACACCAATTTTAGATTAAAAAATGTATGTGCTATAATGCTATAAGATGATGGGGAAGTTACTAAGAGCTGCACTTGTTATGTCTTATGTGCAGTCATGGAACTCTTGTTTAGTGTGTTCCATCTATCTGTGCTGCCATGGCTATATATTATATAAATGTCTGCTGTGAGTTTTTTTTCAAAGAAAGAAAAACAGAAATTCTTAGGATATGACAGATTAAATGTTTTATTCGTTCAAGTCATCTAAGTATAGAATGTACTAAGCATTAAAAATGAACTTGCTTGTCAGAAAGCAAGTCTGTAAAGATTTTCTTCTCTCTTCTTTTTTCCCTTATCATGGAAAAAATAGACACTGAAAAAACAATAAAATATTAAAATATATCCAGACCAGAATTTCTTCATATAGCAATAGCACGTAGACTTATATACCGCTTCACAGTATTTTACAGCACTCTCTGGGCAGTTTACAGATGTCAGCACATTGCTCCCAACAATATGATCCTCATTTTACCGATCTCGGAAGGATGGAAGGCTGAGTCATCCTTGAACTGGTCAGGATCGAACTGGCAGTGGGCAGACTTAGCCTGCAATACTGCATTCTAACCACTGTGCCACCATATTGCCCAGACTGATTAATGTATTAATGTATTAATGTATTAATGTTAAATTAATGTATTGTTAAAAACTTGGTCTGTCTTCTCATTTTGTCCTTGTAGATGATTTGGACCAGCTTCTTGGTGAACTCCCTGATGATTTTTTCTCCAGCTTGGAAGAACAGAACACCTTATGACAGCTCACTAATCCTAAAAGAACTTGCTGGGTAGGATCATGGGCATAGTCCTGTGTTCATGAGCCCTTTTGTACCATGAGATAGACTTCCTTGCAGGGGCATTTTCTAATTACTAAAAAAAATCTTTTATAAATTAGACATAAGCTGCCCTTTATGTGATTAGATAGAAATAGATTGAGTAGCAAGATGGTTGGTTATTAAGCTAATTTTCCTCCTGTGAGTGGAAAGACTTGGGTGGTTTTTTTCAGAGATGCTGTATTGCACACTAGTACTGAGGTCCTGCACCAGACCTTATTATAGATTTGTCTCTTCAGAAAATTAATTTTGCCGGCTATTGGAATGACCTACAATGACTTTTTAAACTATTAAGTACCTGTTACTCCATTTGGTTTGAAATTGTCTTAGGTATGTATTGAATGTTTACTTTGGTGCTTTGTTATACACTATTTCAGGCAAAACAAGCTGTCTTCTAACTGGTCTTCCAAAACAATAAAAAACACTTTATGTTAACTGATACTGTCTGAAAAATAAATATGAAAAATATATCTGTTGAAGTGTTTCTGAAGCTTAACAAAAGATTGTCTAGTTCAGCATGTATTTATTTACATTGATTGGTTGATTTTGATTGATTTTATCCCACTTTTAATTAAGGGGATGAACATACATCATACTTCTTCTATTTTCCTCACAAAAACAAACCTATGAGTTTGGTTGGGCTGAGAGATAGTGACTAGTCTAAAGTCACTTTGACTTTTATACCTAAAGTGAAACTAGAGCTTACAATTTCTTGGTTTCTAGTCCAATGCCTTAACCACAACACCAAATTGGCTCTTTTATTAATTTCTTCTATTTCAGCCATTGCCTACCTCCCTTTTAATAATGTGCATATAAAGCTTTTTCAAAACATTCTGGAAACAGTTTTTTTTGGGTTAGGTAACTTCATACCATTTGAACTCAAGATGTGGTGAGAATTGTAACATTTTTGCACATACATACCACAATTCCAGTTTTTTAGTTCCATATATTTATTGCATATTCAAACAGAAAAAAGTCTTGTTTCGTACAAAGAGATTCATGTGAGGGCCTCTAGATACACAAACTCTTGGGTATTATAACTGAACTAAATAAACTCAATTTTAATTTTAGCTTTTGGAAAGTTAGAAAAAAAGATACGTAATAAAAAGCGAAGAGTTTATTATTATATAGTAGCATATAGATGGAAAAGGACTTTGGCTCTAAATGTCAAGACAGGTCAAATTTCATGCACTCATTCAAATAAGAATTTGAGTCAGCTTGTGCAAAATATTGGCAATGCCAAATGGGTTGTTAAACATTCCTGATAAATTGTATGCATATTTATCAAATTATGTAAACATACTTGGTAAATGTTTTTTAAGGGCCAGTGTATCTGTCTGCCAGATGAATCATGTGCATAAATAGAGTGTGTTTGCAGTGGTTCTTCAATATGCAATTCTTTGAGATGCTCCAGTGAGAATAATCTTCTCGATACTGCTCTCTGAACAAAACATAGATTATATATTAATGAAATAATTCGATGCAGTGAGGTGCAAAAAATAACACTGGGTGGATGAAAATACAGTATACAGAAAATCAATCAACAAGGAAGACAGCATAATCGTTGAAATGTAGAAGAAAGCAGCACCCTTTCCTATGATTTCAATCTACAAAAACAATTTACCCTCAGATGGTTGTCATAGAAGGCAAAGATGATAGTTGAAGTACAGATGCATTCGCCCATTTGGCATTCTTAGTTTCAAAATTATAATTTCTTTAAAAAGTTGAGGACCACATAGAGAAAGAGATATTGGACAATGCAATAGCATATTTTTATGTATGAAAGACCCTGTGTTCTCAACTTTCATGCAGAGATTGCTCTTTGGGAAAATCTGACTCTCATGGAAGGCTGTTTCACTAGCCCATATGTAGAACTTCAATAGTATTGCTCTGTAGCTCATTCTTTTGTGTGCACATTTCTTTTACCATTCTTGAGTTGTGGAAAAACCGTGTCAAGTTATCTTGAGATATTATTAATAGATGTGCTCCAGGCTGAATTGTTATTATTTGAGAAAAGAGTTGCTATTTTGAATCATGGCCTTCAAGTGCACCAGAATGAGAAAAAAAAAATTCTTTAAAGGACCATATTGAAAATGTTACCTATACCTGGAAGAAACCCAATACACTTTACTGCCTTGTTCTTCATTTGCTCCATTCTGCTCATCTGCATTTTCTTCTGGAAACATTTTCTACTATTTTATGCCTTTATGTGTATCTATGGCTATCTACATTAGACATGCAAACTTTTATTTGCTTTCTTATTGTATGGACTATCAACAGTAATTAATTTATTCTCAATTTGACTGATATTTTGAAACAGCATTTAAATGTCAAGTTCCTTTTCTTTGCCATCTCAAGCCATTTTCATATATATGGCTGGGATTAAGTAGGTAAGTAATTTCGTTTAGATTCAAATATTTGCTCTAGTTTTTAATCATGTTATATTTTTCATTATAGTTTTGTTATTAGGTGGCATATAAATTGATTTATTACTGATTTTCTAATTGAACTTAAGAACTGATGTTCCTTTTTTTGCTCAGTTCTAAAAAGAAAGATGACACTGTTTCTACGATGACTACTCAATTCTATTTATAACCCTGGGTAATAAGTACGCAGATGTGCTTGTCAGTGAGACCTTGTCATAACAGTAGCTTTTAAAAATTGGAAGTAATAGCTATTTTCCTGAACGATTTGGGGTTGTTGAGTTGGCTACTGTGTAGAAAACGCTGAATTCATTTCTTACTTAGAAGAATGTCAAAGGAAACTTTTGTATTCACCTCTTCCACTCTGCGCTCCTTGCGGCTGCAACGAGAAAAGCTGGAATGGGAAGAAAGGCAGAGGGCTGCATCTCGCCAGTGGGCCAGCCGGAGGTATCATCCAATTGCCAGGAGCCTCCTTTCTCTCCCCAAGCCTACCAGGCAACTTGAATACTGTCGGGATCCTGCTCTTCACAATGCCCTTTACACAGGAGACTTGCCCAAGATCCAAAGCATTTTTAAAGATAAAATCACTTCCAACTTGATTGTGGAGACCCAGGTGGAAGAGCTAGAGTGGTCAGCTGATCAGGGTAAGATGTGTTATCTCTTGCAGAAAGAAAAGAAGTAGGGTTGGTCATTTTTTTTTCAGGTTTTAGACAAACATTCACTGTTTGTATTGTGAAACAGAGGCTTGTAATATATGAATTTTAATTCCATAAAAAATGAAGAAGTCTGTGTTGATTATTTCTTTTAGCTGAAAAAAAAGCTTTGATTAAAGTAGAAGTACAGAGAAGTTTATTTCCCAGACCCTTTTATCATACTACTACCCTGCCTTATTTATGTGCTCAATCATCCACTTCCATGTCTAAACTTCACATGTTTTTGGTCATTTTTTAAAAAAAATATTTTCATTACTGTAATAGGAAGGAAAGAAAGGGAAGGAAATAATACAATACTGTTATCTTTTCAATAAATAGTATAAGCTTTGCTTGAATTGTACTTATCTGTTAAACTTTGCAATAAGAATAGAGAAAAATAATTAAATTTATTCACAGCATCTATTTTCATTCTTATCCAAAACTCTGATGAAATTAGAATTGTATGTTAAGTGATATGAGTTATAAACATCATTACAACATAGATATTCTAAGACTGAATTAATAGTAACAGTTAAGGTTTCCTAGAATTGACCACCCAGACTCACTGGGAGATGGGCAGCATATAAATTTAATATGTTGCTCTTAGTTGTTATTCTTCTTCTTTAGATTTAGATTTCTTTAATATATTCTTTTATAGCAATAGTTTTCAATCTCTATTTGGGGACTAGAGTCTTTAGTTTCTATTTCTGAGGCAAGACAGAAGTTTATCCCTAACCCTGTACCTGTTTTGATTATATATTTGAAGCTATTTCACTAATGACTGTCACCAAACTATAATCCTCAGGAATTGGATGAAAAGCAAAACATTTTACATTTCTTTTTTCTCTTCTCCCCACACAGCCGTGTATCATCCTCTTAAAAAAAAAACTGTGTAAGGAAATGTACCATTGATGCAAGAGATTGTAGAAGGCTGTAGTTAGTTGTTTTTATGTTTTGCATCTTTTATTCTTCCTCTGTATTTTCATTCTAGTGCTCAAGTTAAGCCTAAAACAGCATAGTATTTCCTCAAACTGTATAATAAAACTGAGTCAGGCCAAACTTCCACATAGACCAGCTTTTTTATGTTTAGTATTTGAGGCACTAATATTTCTTGGAAATCCACGAATAAACATGTTTGAGTTATTTGTATTAATGTGTAAACCTTTAGGGGAGTCATTTTGTAGTCTGATAATTATGAATATTTAGTTTTATTATCATAACTAGTAGCTTTGTTGTCCCTTAATTTATATTCCATCTTTCTGAAAGTTCTCCATATATGTTATAAAATAAATTAATTCTGAATAAACAACAACTTGTATGTAAAACACTCTTCAGCTGGTGCCCATCAACAGTTAGCAGTAATGAATGTGCTACAGGGAAAAAGTGTCCTCAGTTTAATGCCAACCAACGTAATTGTATAACAAGCACATGATTAATCCACCATAGCTACTTTACATAACTAATGCAATAAACCTTTTTGCATTACTACTCTTTTGCATTTTAGTATTTAATGACTATGGGCCTCACAGTTCAAGGATTGATATTATATTATACTGATAGTTAGGCCATGTTATGTTTTGCTCATGTGTAACTGATAGACTGGATACCAAATTATAATTTTAATATAGATTTTATCTATTATTTATTATTTTATTCTAGAAATTTTAACTGGATACTCTTTGAGTGTTTTTAACTTGTTCTGATTTCTGGTCTTTAGCTGTAATAAACTTACTTGACTTGATTTAACTAAAGTCTATATTGTGATAATATATTTTTCCATGTTTAAAAATACATGAAGCTTTTGCCCAATCAATTATATTTGTCTTTGTTGGTTTTACAGGGTTGTGGGTGTTGACTGCTCAAAAGAAGCACACTTCTCCATTGCGAATCACAGCTGCCAGGGGCTATCAAGACTGTGTGAAACATCTGCTCTTGAAAGGGGCAGAGGTCAATGCAGTTATTGGTGGAAAAGCTGCTTTGCATGATAGCTGTGCCAACCACCATGAAGAATGCACCCGTCTGCTCCTACGCTTTGGTGCTAATGCTAATATTCTTTCAGAAGAGGGGCTGGCCCCATTGCATTTGTGCACCACTCAGGAAACTTTGCCGTATGTCTGGGAAGTTGAAAGAATTATGGGTGTGATGACTTAAAGGAAAATTAAAGACAGGCTAATAGGAAAGTAGTCGAATATTTTGTAAAATAGCAAAGAAGCTTCTCCAAGTGCAAGAATTATTCTTTGATATTAAATTACTCTCTTGGGGCAAGACATGTAAGAAGCTGCACATTAGTTACTTTTTGAAGGCAGACTATTCCTATGGAAATCTGTGTGTTCAATGTGTTAGAAGGGCGTATAGAAACCTTTTAGATTTTATTACCTGAACTACACAACTAATGACCCATTGTTTCAGAGATATTTCCTTATCTAAACCGAGAAACAGAATAACTGCAGATGGGTAGAAAAGCAAAAGGAGTGGAGCAACTTCCTTTTTAAAAAATAATTTTATGAAAAGTTTTTAATAACTAGAATAGAAAAAAAGGAAAAATGCAAGAAAAAGGATAAAAAGAAACCTCAAGAATGGGACTTCCCACCATCATAACAGCAAATATAAACAATTCCTTGGACTCTTCACCTAATAAATATAAATTCATCCCATAATCTATCTCTTAACAATAGGCAAATCAAATAAGTAATCTCTTCTTCAATCCAATTACCAGCAAAACAAACAGCATTTAAGATTTTAACATTAATTAACGTATATACAACTCAATACTACAACTCAACTGTAACAAAATCTCACTTAAAAAGGCATACAATGGTCCCAACATCCTGCTCTAGACAAAAGAAACCCCAACTTTAACAAGAGAGAGAATTTCTTTACAGAAGACAAGCTCCAAACAACATTTCAAACAACAACCAATCCTGTTCACATATGCATTCCATATCTTCCCTTTAAACCAGAGGTCCCAGACTGGTTCTGTGGAGGGGTGTTTAGTTTCATGTACTGCCTGCATCCTGCGGATGGGGCTTCTTTGTGCGAACAGGTTTCTGGCATGCTGCGGCCCAGTGCCAGTCCACAGACCGGGGGTTGGGGACCCCTGCTTTAAACTACAGGTAGTTCTCAACTTACTACCATTCATTTAGTGACTGTTCAAAGTTACAGTGGCACTGAAAGAAAAGGGACATGACCATTTTTCATACTTAGGGCTGTTGCCATCCATGTCATGTGATCAAAATTTATACACTTGGCAACTGGCTTGTATGACAGTAGTGTCCCAGAGTCATGTAATAACCTTTTATGACCTTCTGACAAGCAAACTCGATAGGGAAATCAGATTCAGTTAAACATGTTATCAATTTAACAACTGCAATGATTCACTTAACAATTGTGGCAAGAGGACAAAACTCATTTAATTTTCTTGCTTAGCAGCAGAAATTTGGGAGTCAATTGTGGTCATAAATCAAAGACTACCTGTATAAGTGTATCCACATTTTATAAATACGTTGTTTCCCAGTGTCCTATTATAAACAAAAGATTAAAATTTAATGTAATGAGAAATAATTTCTTGTTTAAAAAGTTCTCCAAGCTTTTTCTTCTTTTTATGACACTATAATCCCTTAATTCGGGGTAGAGTTGGGATGATTGGATGGAGCTAAGAATTTATTGGCCAAATGCCTTTCCTGATGCCTATGTGGAATTTGCTGTTGCTACCTAGGATTGAACTCAACCTTCTGAATGGGGGATGAGTGGCTTCACCACTAGGCCATCACGCTGCTCTTCTCCAAGCTTCCTTATTTTAAATTAACAAAGAAAATTGCAAAGCCAGATTAAGTACTATAAAGTTAGTATTACATGAATTATAGGGGGAAAGGCTTTTATATCTCATTAAATATAAGCATATCCAGTATGCCAATTTTTTTCCAATTAAGATATCAGTAGATCCAACAAAATATCCCATTTTAACCCTGGTTGAATAAACTGACTATAGTAATTTATTCAGATGTTCGTTGATCTTTATTATAAATTTCTTTAGCACTTTTAAATTCCCTTGAAACAAAATTATTCTAAGTGTTCTCTAGAATTATTTTTACTTCCTTCTTAATTTTAAAACCTTATCCATTTTTCTTTATATCTAGTAACAAATTCTTATTCAGAGTCTTGTTCATATTTTTCTGAGTAAATTTTGCTGCATAACTTGTTCTGTAACATTTTTTTGGAACAAATTGTTCTCAGGAAGACTCAACATAGCTGATATGATTGAATCAAAATCATGATGTAGGACACATTTATTTTTAAAATAAAATGTCAAAGTTCTAATCAAGTAAGCCCCAACATTTTATGCCCTTTAAACTTTAGTAGCTTGTCTTGCTTTTTGGTGTTTAAGTTATTAAACATTAGAAAAATAAATCTTCATATTCTTATATTTAGGATTAGTCACCTGGTATTTTCAGCTTTGCTATTAGTTAGCAAGGGAAGTGCACAAATTTAGCATCCTTTGAAAGCCTTTGTTAGCTCTTGGAGCAAAAATGATAAATTCTTCTGTCTCCCAGTTCCCACACATCTATATAGAGATCACTGTCCTGAGGTTCTCATAAGGAAGAGGAACAACCATAAGGAAAAACAGTGTAGGCAATTTGTGTCTCTCTCTTTCATCTAGAAAGAATTGTAGGACTCAATCAGCATTGGCTCCTTTATAAATGCTGCAAATGTTGGCTCTGCTTGTCCACAGAACTGTTTTCATCCTGCCATTTTTCCCAAGAAACTCAGGAGCAGGAACAAATTATAGGAACGATAAAGTTTTACTTATTCATTTATATGGTTTATCTTATAACAAAAGACATAATTGAAAGCTGTGCTTAACAGATCTGTAAAGAGTGTTACTGGATATAGTGGAATGAAGCCCATATGTAATTACAAGCAGTGCAAGAGTGCTTAACAATGGGGCATTTAGCTATGGGCATCGGAATCTATTTCTGCAATATTTTAAAATATATATTAAAGCCAATAAAATATAACATTAAATAGCAATGGACTGTAGGGCAGTTGCAAAATTCCTTAATGCAACTCTGTGCCTTTCAGATGTGCTCAACTACTACTGGAATATGGGGCTCTAGTGAACCAGAAATCAAGAGATGGTCATGCTTCCCCATTGCATGTGGCTAGCAGGCATGGTCTAGAGGATCATGTCAAACTCTATCTTTGCTATGGAGCAAATATTGCTCATAGAAATCAGGAAGGAGAGACAGCTATCAACACAGCTTGTGCCTATGCAGATAGACCTGAGAAGGCTGGACGCTACTACCAAGTGGTAAAGCAACTTCTGGATGGTGGGGCCAATGTCCAGATTGCTGGCCGAAAGAACCATACTCCACTGCACAATGCCTGCAGCAACTGTCACATTGGTATTGTAAAGCTCCTGCTACAACATGGGGCAGAAGTCAATATTAGTAATTGTGCTGGCAATACTCCTATGGACTGTGCTTTGCAAGCAGTGGAAGATTACCTGGACGAAGAGCCTGAAAAAGTTATAGCCATGTTGCTCAACCATGGTGCTGCCTCTATTAATTCTAAGGTAAAAGTGGTGCCTTCAGTTCTAGTGATTTCTTGATGCTATGGGAGACCATTTCTTGAAACTGTTGACTTAGTTTTGGATTGCATAATATTATATCACAATAATAATATAGGTAAGGAATAATATTTGTAATTTTTAAAATGTATGGCCAACTCAGGACAGTTTCCTTCTTGGACAAGGACAAGAGACTTGGTCCTTTGATTTCACATATAGAAGGTAGAGGATGCCAAACAGGCTCTATCTTACTAGACATCTAAGAGGAATGGATAGCACTACCTAAAGCTTTTACAACCAGAGGCACTTGTTTCACTCTATGTAAAGGCAGGGGCAATCCTGTAGCCATTTTTTTTAGAAACCATCTCCTAGATGAAAATTGACACAATGCTGTTTTTAATGTTTCCCTCAGATAGTGCTTCCTATAGGTGCTGTGAGAATATAGGGTTTTTACTTGAAAACATTCCTTCTTCTTTCCAAGATATTCATGATTTTTATTTATTTTTTTGCTCTCTTTCTCTTAATTCTTTTGCACTTAGATGCTAAAGTTTTGTGTGTCATCACCTCGATCTATGGAAATAATTCTGAATTCTTATGACCGAATACTGTCCTGTGATTCTTGGGTAGGCTCTGTGCCCACTGAAATGTGGCAAGTAAGTAACAGTACTTTTATTGTTCACCATTAGTTGCATGTCATACTCTTCTACCATTATGTTGCCCTTTTGGTTTTTCTTGCTGAGTGAAATCTGGACTTGTACTACAATGTATGGAGCAAGATAGGGAAATGCTAGCTGAGAAACTTGTCAGTTTTTTGGGTACCATTCCTTTTCTCTAAAGGAGAAATAAACAATCATGTAGTCAGTATGACTTCATAGCTTAGATTCAAGTAATCATATCTTTACAAGAATTAGTTTTTACAATTGGATTGTACATACTAGAATTGCTTCCTATAAAGCCTTTAAAGTAACCATACCCTGCCTGCATTTTTATTACCATCTGACCACTCAATAATCGAATTCTAGTCATGTATTAGAATTCATGACTACTCACTCAGTAAGGGTTCTTTCTCCTATCTCTCAAGGCCATTATCTATGCCCTCTACAATTTTCCTGTTCCTGTTAAAACTCCAAAATTACTTCTTTAATTCTGGCTCTTATCACATTGTTTGAAAGTCAACTGTATGCTCTCATAAGATTAATTCTCCTTTAAACGATCAAATTATATTCTTGTGTACCACTGAACATAGCTTGATCATGTAGTGCAGGGATCCCCAACCCCCAGTCCGTGGATCAGTACCGGGCCGTGGCATGCCAGCAACCGGTCTGCACAAACAAGGAAAGCCCCATCCACAGATGCAGGCAGCACACAAAACCACGCCCCCTCTGGTCTGTGGAAAAACCTCTCTCCACAGAACCGGTCCCTGGTGCCCAAAAGGTTGGGGACCTCTGATGTAGTGTAAGTGAAAAATCACATGATAGTATGTTCTGATTATCTCTGGAGAAATCTTGCAGGGTGGGGGAGAGATTTCTATGCAGTAAAAAAAACATTGGTAAGTCTAGAACCTCTTATTATTGATAGTCCCAGAATTCTGGAAAATTCAAAAGATTATATATCCTTTTTGTATTACTCTAGTTAATCCTAATAAAGGTATTCTCCAACCATGGATTTGGGATTTATTTTAAAATTGAATGTCCTGGCTTTTACTGCTTTTTTTTTTTTTAAGTAAAAACATACTCCATCATTTGACCCTTTCCCATATCATGGATTTTAAGTAAGGTTTTTGACAATTAGTTCTATGTGTAGGGATTAAATTTCACAAATTATATATACTCTTGAAATATAAAGTAGAATCTAAAAAGACCTAAGCTTAGTTGGCTGGTGGAACTATGACATCAGAACCGCAACAGATATCATAAACTGCCTTACCAATCAAATAGACCAAATCTGGAAGTTATGTCAAGATTAAGCAATAAATGTTAGAAAAATAGTGGTGGATGAAAGTGCACAGCTGTTGAGATATATATTAGTTCTTTACTGTCCTGATACAGACAATATAATAGATACAGCTTAGAACATTTGGAGAAAGTGGTTTAGAATTTGGAAATTTATGTAATATTTAGGAACATACATTATATGTGTATGAACCAGAGACTTTAAAGATTACTCCATGGGGCATGTAGTCTGTTGCAGAATATGAGAATTTTTCTTCACAAGGGAACTGTTATAATAATTACTATATAACATGTCTGTCTCTTGATGTTTTCCTATTGATGCACTGTATATGAACAAAACCCACATTTAACTTTTCTTTATGTCTTTACAGGAACATCAAGTGTTCTATGATTCAGTTCTTTTCCTGGTGAATCAGCCTCGCCCACTGCAACATTTAGCTCGTTGTGTTATTCGGAGACAGTTAGGGATGCGTTGCCATAAAGGCATCTCCCAACTGAAATTGCCTCCTTCTTTGCATGAATATTTACTTTTCCCTTTAAAGGGTTATCTGAAATAAGATGATGGCAAAATAGAGAGCAATTAGTAATTTAATATGATTCCATCATCCTATAATGAAATACTAGTATTGCCACTAAAATAGTGATTAAACTGCAAATAGCAAACATTTTAGCTATGTTGATAGACATAATTCTTGTACCTCCATGTCAGTTCTTGTTCTTGGATGATATGCAAGTATAGTAATTAAAGATAAATATGACTTGGATGTATCAATTTCAGCATAAAGCAGAATTTGTTCCAGAAGAAAAAACTGAAAAATATGGAGAGAAATTTTGACTGTAATACAAGAGTGAGTCCTGTTAAGAGGCTCTGAGGCATGCATATCTGATCGATTCAGGCTGGAAATCATTTTCTTGCATATTGAAGTTCCATCTACACAATGAGCATGTGTGCATATTATTATCCTATCTCTTTGGCATGAAGGATTCTCACTAATCAGCTAACTACTATATTCTGTCCATCTAAATAAAGGGCGGGTATTCACATATATCAATACTGATTCTGATTTAGTTCGATTGGCCTTGATTATAATCTTTACTTAAGAATGTATATGCTGAGGATAGATTGATAGGGAGATTAATATCACTGGCATATTTTTATATTTAGTTAAGAATCTGATACTAATTGTAGTAATTATTGGTGACCTGTAGACTTCTCGGGGATGAAGTGGGATGGAGTGGGACAGTCACCAGCTGCTTTGGCAGTGACAAATTAAGCATTGGCAATAGGGGGAGTGGTCCTACCTGTAATTGCTATCTTGCCACCTCAGAGGCTTTGTCTTCCAAGCTTTTGGACTCGTGCTGGAGCCCCCATCCTCCCAGGGGACTTTTTTCTAGCCTGAAGATGGGCTCCAGCACGAATCCGAAAACTCTGAAGACAAAACCTCTGAGGTCCTGGTGACCAACCCAGATTTGATCCTGCAACATTATCCTGAAACACCTATATTTGCCTTCATTCATAATTGTTATCTTTATCAAGGTATAAGCTGAAAATACTAAATGGGGTCAATTCCCTGGCATGCTGTCCTTGGAAGAAATAGTATGCTGAGGACATGTTGAGAGAATGATGCAAACTATATGAGCATCAAGATGAAGATTTTAAATCTTTGGGCTGGAATCTGAAATAAAAAATACTGTCCTATTGTGCCAATAAAAGAATATATGTGGAACCAGGTTGAACTGTGGAGTTCTTGGTGCTCTCTGAGCTTGTTTTCATTACCTGATTAGGTAACATTTTCAGTGCACTACATAATGAAACATTTGCCTTAGAGAACAAAAACAAAAACAGTAATTGAAGTTCTGCAAGATGGTGCGAAATTAGCAATATTCTTGAAGGAAGTGACAGCACTTCATTAGTCTCTTTGCTTTTATAATTAGAAGTCTTTAGATAAAGATACTGTTGTAGATGAGGATGAATTAGATACATCTTAGCTGGATGCCTCAGCTGGAGTTTTCTGCTGAGTGCTAATGGCAACCTTGTGTAGGGGTCTGGAAACTAACCAGCCACAAGTCAAAATATATACAAAAATGGACGCTGGACTGGTCTTATTGGGTAATTAATATTTCAAGTGTATTGAAATATGCAACACACACACACCCTTCCTGTGAGTGTCAATAGAACAGAGAAGGCTGTTTTTATTTTGAGTTGTAAGATAAACATTTCATGGAAAAAATCAAAAGGTCAATGACTTGATGACACATCAATCTTTTATCAAATTGAGAGTATCTTTCCTTCTGAAGAAAATAAAAGTATATATTTTTCTCTTTTGTGATGAAAGAGAGATTATAATCACAGCGTATAGCCATCTGGTCACTGCTGTTAATTAGCTTCCTTTCTTACAGTTGATGGATTTTGAAAGGAAATAGTTCTTCAATATAGTTTCTAAAGAGTTTGAAAAAGATGCAAAACTGCATATTAATCACAATGATTATTAGAAAAAGCATAGCTATATTAATATAGTATTATATATAATTCTTAATACTTAAGAAACAATTAAATATCAAAAAGAAAAACACAAGCTTGACACATGTAGAAGCGAAGACCTTTAAAAAGTCAAAACGAAATGAAATGAAATCTGAATAAGAACTTCCACCTCTTTATGGGCTCTTTTCTAGTAGAAGGAAAATAGCATACATGCCTTCAGAATGTGTTAGCTGGTTTTGTTGCAAAAATCGCTTTGCTGCCATCTAATGATCAAGCCTGGTCTTCGCAGCCTGAAAATTATAAAACTCGCTCTATTCTGCGATACTGGGAGAAGGGAATTAAATGGGATTTTTTTTTCATTTAAGTAGCAAGCCATTTATGCTGACGTCTCACTCTCTCCGAAGAATAAATATATACTATAAATAGGAAAAGTAATCATTAAAAAACGTAACTGATCCCGTCGCGTGCTTATCGCATCATAGGCCTAGTCTGTAGCCGCTGCTATAGCAACCAGTTTTGCAGCTGAACAAGTTCTCGGGCGCCGCGTAAGTACGTGTCAGCGGTCGTTAGTGACGTATCCCCTTTGGGAAGCTGGAGGAAGAGACTCTGAGGAAGGAAGGTGAGTGACAGGTTCCTGCCTTTCCTGCACCTCTTTAAAAAATAAAATAAAATCTTGTTTCCGCTAATGGAAAAGCCGCATAGTTTGGTCCTATTTCAGAGCCCTCTCCCCCTCTGAGCTCCCTCAGTGACTTTTTTATGGGATTCTTCTTCTCTTCCAAATAAAAATGGAGCTTTTCCTCCCTTTTGTTGTGTTCTCTGCCGCGCTACTTTTCAACTGATATCAATCCTCCCTTCCCCGTGTTATAAGGAGGCCTTTTCTTGCGCTGCGATATTATCTCTCAGCCCGGATTTCATTGCCTCCCTTCATTGAAAGGGCGGGGGAGGGGCGCTGACACATGGGGAACTGTGTTTTTAAAGGCAGCATTGCTGGAGGAGGGATTTCCTCTAGAATTTGGCAATGAAATGAATGGAAACGCAGACCTTTAGTGGGAGAAATAATGGATAGATTTAGAAAAATGCTTAAACAGGCAGAATAAGATGAGACATCAAATAATATCATTTTATTCTTTGTAGTTTCTTTTTAGGTTGTATTTTTTATTGTACATAAAAATTTATTTTTAATATTAAAATATTAAAAACAATCACTCGGTGAAGAAAAATGTATAGGCACAAAAATCCACTCAATTAGCTTCTTAGTAGCCTCTATTTTGGAAAAAAAATCTCCCAACTATACATACTTACATGTTGCAGTCAATTTATTTATTTATATTTATTTTTCAAATTTATATAGTTGCACAGATGTGATTCTGGATGACATAAAAATAAAAAGAACAATAAAACGTAAATAAACTTTAACAACAATAAAATACATACCATGGAGTGTGTTAAAAATTGATTATGTAGTAAGCCATCTTGTGAGCTCTCCAGTTTCCCAAGAATTCCCAGGCCTGCTAGAAACCATAACTTAAGAGACTTTCAGAAGGTGAATAGGGTCAGTGCTAACCTCACCTTGGAGGTTTGGGGGGGAATGATATTGAAGATAGGGGTTTAAAAAAGCATGCATGTTAATTGTAAAAAAGTCCAGAGAATTTCCTTTCGGAAGTGAACAAAATACATACCTCAGGTTTCTATTTACTGTGATCCATAGGCTTTTTCCTTATCTACTGCATTTACTATAGTTTGGGAGAGGAGAAATCTATAATTTTCCATATGTTGAACCATCACCATTTATTCCTAATTATTGGCATGTTGTGTTAGACTTGAGAATTGGATTTTAACAATATGGAAAGTCAGAGGTCCTCAGTCTACTCATATGCTGATTTTATTTTACCTATATTAGAAGATACCCTGTTTTAGGATTTCCTATAAGTAGTACTGTCTGCTGCCTTTAAGACTGTAAGCAAAGAAGCATATCTTATAGTATTTTAGACAGAACATGTAACACTACAAGTTAATAGTTGCATAAATGCTAGAATAACTTCAATAACAGATGATAAGGGGAAATAGCTATCAGTTATATTGGTTTTCAAATATTAGCTACACCATATTGAAATTGCAGGTGGATGCACACTGCTGAGTGGAGACGGTGGGAGTGCTATAGATATGTAATCTGTAAAGTGGGAGCAATTTAGGAGAATGACTTGCAACCTTCCTGCCAGCTTCCCCATTGACTTTGCTTGGGGGAAATCAACAGGGAAGGTCACAAATGGCAATCACAGGACCACTCTCACTGTGATGTAATTGCAAGCCGGGCACTGAGCATCTGGATTGCGATAACTTGACCATGAGGACTCTGCAACAGTCACAACTATGGACCCTCATTCAGCACTATTATAATTTTCAAAAGTCGCTGAAAACATAGTTATAACTTGAGGATTTCTTGTAACAATTCAGAAGCAGCAACATAACATTTTCTATCACATCCACCTCAAATACTTCCATAAAGAAATACTGTATTATTTTGTTGCAACATGAATCTGCAAGTAGAAGTTTCTTTTTAAACTGAAAATAATTATATATACACAATTTAATATATTAAAAGAGCTTCATTCCACTTATTACATAAATTAAGCCTACATCTTTCTTGATAAGTAAAGAAGTTTTAGATAGACATAGGAAAACACTTTAGACAATTTCAGTGATTTTTTTCAGTCCACGTAGACAAAAAAAAATCACTTTGGTTAGAAAATCTGTTTCTGAGCTACTGAATTATTCATAATAATAATTATGCTAAATAAAAATTATTCTAATTTTCTTTTAATTGAAAGTCAGTTTGGAGTAGGGCTACTAGGCTAGACACCAGGAGATAGTGAATTCTTGTCCGGTTTTAGTCATGAAAGTTAGCTGAGTGATTTTGGACCAATCACTCTCTTTCATTCCAATTCACCTCACAGGTTTGTTGCTGTAGGGAAAATAAGAGGAGGAAGGAGTATTAGATATGGTCACCATCCTGAGTTATTTATAAAAATAATAAAAGGGTAAAAATAATCTATATAAATAAATTTAGAGTTTTATTATGCATGTTTTTCCCAATTTTGAGGGATCATAAATTTTCAAACAAAAGAAGCTATGAAGAAAACAATTTAAAATCATATGTTAATTATGTCATAATATTTTTATCCTATTGCTGATAATCAGACTATTATGTGAAACAATGTCAGAAAGACACTGGCAAGCGGGAAATTAGTTTTGAATCCTTTCATGGGCACAGGAGATAAGGTCTGAAACACCCCCACCCCTCCTTCCCTTGAATGTTATTGAATCTTATCTAGTCTGGCCCAGGTACAAACTGTCAGTCTGGAAAAATTCCTGTGAACTAGGCATGAGCAATAAAGTAGCTAAGTGAACTCTTCAAGTGTGAATCTGGCTGTTCCTGAGTGACAGTTAATCAAGATAGTAATTGTGTTTTGTTGAACAACAACTAGCAACACTAGGCATCTTCTAATCAAGTAGACAATGGTAGAGTTTCTTCCCTTAGTTTCTTTATGGTTTTTTTTACTGCAATAAGTAGCGTTTGAATAGAAAAGTTAATGGATTGAAAAATTTTTGAATATCCATTTTTTAAATTCCTATTTCAGAATTTTACATTGCAGTATTGATTGTACAAATATATTACATCCCTGGAAACAGTTTTTCTCCATAATTTTTACTTTATTAACTAAATTAGAAGTTAATTTTGACAATAACTTTGCTATTGATAGATACAGCTCTCATATAATTTCCATGTTGTTTTGCAGCAAAAAGATATATATTTTTTTTATAAAAAGTCATTATTTAGTCTTTCAGATTTAGTTATTT